ATTTATTAAAATAAATCTAAACTTATTTATTATTTATTACTTTAAATAACTTTTACATTCACTTAATTACTCTTTTTACCACCATATTCTACTTTATCTTTATTATTATTTTTTTTATTCATAATTAACTTAATCTATCCTTATTAACTTATTATCCTTACTCTTCCACTTACTACCCCTTCACTCATATTTTTCCATTAAATGACTGAAAATAAGTATTGATTTTTTAAATCAAATTATAATAGTACTCAATCTATTTTTAATGAAAGAATTAGTTAAATCATAAAACATTAAATTGTCATTTTAAAAATATTATAAAATAAAATAATATTCTTTTATACCTCAAATAATACCTTTAATATGAAAACAAATATTACTTTTACTAATAATTATATTAATTTTTTTAAACTCTTTTTTTTTTATATATATAACCCCTATTAAAATGAATATATATAACTCAAATCAATGCCAAATTAAATATTCCTGAAACTGAACATGATAATAAATTTATTTTCTTCCTTTGACCCAATAACATCTATATATTTATCTATAAATTGACTTAGAATATTAATTTTATTTTTTTTTCTCCCTCTTCAATTTTGATTTTTTCCATCCCGAGTTATTTACTTTTGAAATCTAATTATTATATATTTATTTAATGAATTTAAAACTTTAATTAATCATTCTTATTCAAATATTATTACTTTTATAAGTCTTTTTTTTTTTAATTTTTTTTTTTAATTTTTTTCAATAATTTTTTAGGACTTTTCCCATACATCTTTACAGCCTCAAGCCATATAAATTTTTGTTTTTCTCTGTCTTTAAGACTATGAATAAGAATATTAATTTTTAGAATTCTTAATCATTTGGGTATCTTATTAGCCCATTTAACCCCTTCTGGTACCCCTTGTATCCTGATACCTTTTATAGTTATTATTGAATCTATTAGTCTTATAATTCGCCCTTTAACTCTGGCGATTCGATTAACAGCTAATATAATTTCCGGTCATCTTCTATTAACTTTACTCGGCTCCTCAGGAATGAATATTAATAACCTCTACTTTATCAATTCTTATTTTTATCCAAATATTACTTCTTACATTAGAGATTGCAGTATCCCTTATTCAAGCATATGTATTTTCAATTCTTTCAACTCTCTACAGAAGAGAAACTTAAATTATCCTATGACAAATCAAAATCATCCATTTCATCTTGTCTCGCCTAGCCCATGGCCAATCATTATTTCTTTTAGAATTTTTAATAACTTAATTTTTATTATTAGATGATTCCACAATATATCTAATCAGATACCAAAATGATACTATCTATATAGACAATGTAATTTTTTATATTTATCTATTCCTAGTACTCTTATTTGTATACAATATATATGATGGCGCGATGTATCCCGAGAAGCAACCTTTCAGGGCTGCCATTCAAAATCTGTATTTCAAGGCCTAAAAATAGGAATGATCTTATTTATCATCTCAGAAATTTTTTTTTTTATTTCTTTTTTTTGAGCATACTTTCACTCATCTTTATCCCCATCCATTGAAATTGGTCAATTATGACCACCCAAAGGAATTATTCCATTTAACCCTTTTGATATTCCATTACTAAACACTATTATTTTAATTTCTTCTGGACTTACTATTACTTGGTCCCACCATTCTATAATTAATTCTAATATAAATGAAAGAAAAAAAAGGCTTTTTTAAACTATTATTTTAGGAATTTACTTTTCAACTCTTCAATTATTTGAATATTTAAATGCCCCTTTCACTATTGCAGATTCTATTTATGGATCAACTTTCTTTATTGCTACTGGATTCCACGGAATCCACGTTATTATTGGAACTCTATTCCTATTAGTATGCTTAATGCGTCTATATAAAATACATTTTTCACCTCACCATCATTTTGGATTTAAGGCAGCAACCTGATACTGACATTTTGTAGATGTAGTCTGACTATTCTTATTTATTTCTATTTACTGATGAAGATTTTAAATTATTACCCTATCTCATCCCTTTACCTACTCAATTTTTCCTTTGATTCCCTCTTTCCTTATTATATAATATATTTTTATTAGCTACTTTTAAACTCAAAATTTTAATTTTAAATCTATCCTAATTTATATAGTATAATTATTTTATTACATTTAATTTCCAATTAAAAAATTTAAATATCTTAATATAAATAATACTTAATATTATATTTTTCTCCTTTATTCTTATTACCTTAACAAGTATCCTTCTCTCTATTAACTTAATCTTAGCAAAAAAAACTAATTTAAACTTGGAAAAAATATCTCCCTTCGAATGCGGTTTCAAACCTTTATCCAAAGCACGGATATCATTTAGAATACAATTTTTTATCATCAGCCTAATTTTTTTAATTTTTGATATTGAAATTGCCGTCCTTTTACCCCTAATTTTTTTAATGTTAAACTTTAATCCATTTATTTTATTATACTCTTTTTTATTTTTATTTATTCTAATATTTGGACTTTATATCGAATATAGTGAAAATTCCCTTGATTGAAAAATTTAAATTTTAAATAAAATATTTTTACTCAGGATATTAGTTAAATCACATAACATTTAAATTGCACTTAAAAATAATAATTTTTAACTATTATATATCTTATTTAATTATTATTTTTCCCTATTCATAACCCTTTAATCTATTTCAATTTTCCAATTCTTAAAGTAATTTATTTACATTTTAACTTCGAATTAAACTATTGATTTTATTTAATCTAAGAATTTTATTTTATTAACTAAATATTATATTCACCCCTATATCCCAAATTCAATTAAATTAACTAAAACCAAAAAGAGGTATATTATTGTTAATAATATCATTGAATAAATATTTCTAGTTGGAGTAAAAATCAATTGAACTTCTAATTCATTCTTATTATGAAATATCCATAATTACTTCAATTAAATATAGTTTAATTAAAACATTATATTTTCAATATAAAAATAATTTCATTCTTTAATATTTATTTAAAAATTATATTATCAAATTTTCTTAATATCTTCAATATTATGCTTTATTTATAAGCTATTTAAATTTAAATTCGCTAACTTAGCCGCCTCCAATTATTTTTACACACTTAAATCATTATGTATATAATTACATTAAAATAAATAAAAATAAACACAAATATATATAACTTATAATAAATATTTCTAATTTGAAATTTCGAAAATTCTTTAATTATTCCTCTTTCTAAATATTCAATTCATCTTTTATCTAATATACTAAATTTTACACCTATTTCATTAATAGGTTTATAAACTCATCTATACAATCTAATTAAAAATCATATCGACCTAAAAAAATAAATATAATAATATATTCAAATAAATTTTCTCAAAATTATTATTAACCATGCTAACAAACCCCCTAAAAAACAACACCCTAAAGTAACTAACTTATTTATTACAGGTAAATAAATTATATAAAAATCAAAATAAAAAATTCACCCTATTAATGACCCTAAAATAATTCTTATAAATATTATTATAATTATAGAAACATTAATCAACCCACTCTCTTTAATATACCTATATATCTATAGAATTTAATTCTTCTATTAAAAAATAAATAATAAAAAAAACGAACTGAATAAGACACAGTTAATAATAAAGATACAACTACCAACATAAATATTAATATATTTATTCCCCTATAAACATAAAATACTTCTATAATTAAATCTTTCCTATAAAATCCTGATATAAAAGGAAATCCCCCTAATGCAAAATTTGAAATTATTAATCTTATTATTA